CAGCGGGGGTTTGGGGGTGAAACCTCTACCCCGGCTTGGGCCTCCTGGACCCCCGCACGACAACCCTGGCTCTGGCCCTTAGAACAGTGCCCTTCACCCCCAAGGAGCTTACCATCAGGGATGCTTTCCCTGTTTACCTTTCCCAACCACCAGTACGCCCCGGCCTGGTGGTGCTGCATCGCGCACCAAGCTTTGCCGAAACCGCCAGCGGCACAGTCCTTTTCGTTTTAGGCTGGCACCGCCGGCCATTGTGGTCCAGCAGCCCAAAACCTCCGAAGTAGGCTATGAAGAGATCTTGCAAGGCTGGGGTTGACCTGGCAGTTTACTCCCGAAGAAATCAGCAGTGAGCGACCAGCTATTGCCAGCTATTGCTACAGTGCCATGTCGGTTCATTTCAATTTTCAAATGAATATAGCCCAGGGCAGCACACACGTCCATCCAAGTACTGCCACCCATCTTTCCTCCACCTTTTTCAACTCTACTCTACAATATTTTCCTCCTATTGGGTTTCCATACCCTTATCCTCCTGCGAGGAAAAATTATTCTCCCCACAACGAAAAGAAAAAGCCCACTTTTTTTCCTTCTCTCTTGAACAATCAGCCCGGGGCACCCATGGGAGTATCATAGGGGGTTGCCCTTATCACCTCTTAGCACACAGCCCCAGGCTGTTTCTCCGCTAAAAAAAAAGAAAAAAAACAGTACCAAGATCACGTTACCTTCCCTGAAATGAATGAACTACACTGGGGGAACGAAATCTACAAGAACTCGTATACTGTACTTTGGAAACTATGAGGGCCATCACATATATCACTCGTATCAGAGGACAAGAGAAGAATCAGACAAAATATAATTATTCCTTTCATGCATAGGAAACATACAGGGAAGATGGGCTCACCCAGAACCATAATTCCGCTTCCACCTTCATATATAAAAAAAGCCATACTCTCTACACAAAGAACTTTTCATCTCCCAAAAGGATGTGACTAGACTTTCCCCCGCACCTCTCCCTCCCCTTCCCCGGAACTTCCCACAGCAATCATTTGCACCCTGGACATTCGCCCACCCCTCTCCTGACCTCTCCTCCCGGCGAAGTTGCCACAGCAAACAATTGGACCGAAAGCCCTCTGGCCTACCCCTATGTCACTACCTTGCACATACACAGGATGTAATGTCCCAGGAACTTCATAATGCCTGCCTCTCTACCTCTCTTTAAACCACCAGTACATGGCCACCTGGGCCGCGTGGCTGACACCTCAAATTCTGGAGTCGCAAAACGAAAACGAAGCCGCCGATCGAATTTATCAACAGCGGGCCCAGCATTTGACATTTCCGCCTCATTTTCTTGTGGCGACAAGTTTCCGACTGCAAGGCTGGGGCCATGTACTTGTGGTTTAAGAATTCAATCTCTCCAAGGGAGAAATTTAGTGTCTCCTCTCCCACCTGTACTTTGGCTGGGGTCACAATTGTGATCTTTGTGCCTGGAGGACTATTGACTATAATAACAGCTTTATATCCCCCGGTGAGACAAGACAACTCAATTTCATTCAGCAGTTCATCTTCGGGGTTAGTTTGTGGAAGCTGACAGGCATGCCAAACGATTGCTCGCCGAGGATCGCATGAAGTGCCTAGCAAGATTTGCGTACAATCACACTAAGGACTCTGCGGGGTGCATTTGAGCACAAATACTGCAAGATTCCATCGTAAGATTCTAAACGCGAAAAAAAAAACAGCTTTATATCCCCCGGTGAGACAAGACAACTCAATTTCATTCAGCAGTTCGTCTTCGGGGTGTAGTTTGTGGAAGCTGACAGGCATGCCAGACGATTGCTCGCTGAGGATCGCATGAAGTGCCTAGCAAGATTTGCGTACAATCACACTAAGGACTCTGCGGGGTGCATTTGAGCAGAAAAATTTCTAAAAAAGGACGTAACAATCAAGGCATCATTACTAGCCGACATAGGGGTGGTGGACATAAACGATTATACAGAAAAATCGATTTATCTTTTTTTTTGTTTACTATGTCTAGTGAAATTATTCATAAAACTTTCTTGAGAAAATGAAGATCTTTTGGAATGAAAGTTAAAGTTTCAAGAAAAAGACTTTCACTGTGTAAAATTTCTGCAAATTGAGCAATTGATCTAAGTTCAAAACCTGAGCTGCTTTCGTGATTCAGTAACAGAACTGAAATATCGGCTTTTTCCTACTAGGAAAAAGCTCTATCAATTAGTCTTTTTGTTATCGGACTCTAAACGCGAAAAAAAAACAGCTTCATATCCCCCGGTGAGACAAGACAACTCAATTTCATTCAGCAGTTCATCTTTGGGGTGTAGTTTGTGGAAGCTGACAGGCATGCCAAACGATTGCTCACCGAGGATCAAATGAAGTGACTAGCAAGATTTGCGTACAATCACTCTAAGGACTGTGGGGTGCATTTGACCATAACTGCCTCAAAATTAAATCGTAAGATTCTAAACACGAACCCGGCCTTGTCTGATGCCTCAGACCCTACCCAAATCCTCCAAATCTACTCAGCAGTCCAAAGATTCTGTGCAGTGTCTGAGCACATACATATCCAGAGGATATCGTACTCTTGTCATAAACTGGCTGTACAACAAGATTCATATGATGCCACACATTTCTCAGGCCAGCACAGCACCTTGGTTGTGTGGGATATATGACCTGTGAAAAAGACTGCCCAGCTCCATCCTACTGTTCTTCATCTTCATCCTTTCGCTGTTTTCTTTCTTTTCTCCGGTTCCATTTGACTTCAAGCAACCCACGCCTCTTCAGGTAGTATGGCAACCCTTAGAGACGTTTCTTTTGTGTTCTGGCAGATATGAAAACACTGCATACATAAAAGAGATACGCATATAACTGTGTCAATCATGTGATCCACAGGTGAATCACATAATTCATAATATGAACTCAACGTTGTGGCCTCCATGCAGGGCCGCCTGTTTGTGCAAGGAATACGAGTGTGAACAATATACAGAAAACCCGATTTGCGAAATCACACAGCTGTCCAAGTAGTCGTGTCAAAGCAGAGAGAACAAAATGCACTGAGGAACCATCCATATAAAGCAATACAATGAAGTAGTGAGCCAATGTTTAAACCCGTAGGCCACACCAACACAGTATCCAAAGTCGCTCTCTGTTGTCTGGCGCCCAGCGCCCAGTCTACTCTACTCTACAGCTGGTTCACGCAACAGGCACACTTCGACACTCGAAGACCAATGCACACGACTGCCGACACCATACCTGACCTCTCTTCATGCACCAGGTACGTATCTCATCACCCTCACTCAGACCTTGACTACCCCACACAACGCCTCCTTCCCTGAAGACCACCTCGTCGCCCGCTGTACCCCCTTGGCGACCAGCAGCCCGGCTATGGCCGCCTGCGCCCCACTGCCCTGCAGCGCCCCACCTCACCTCTCGCGCTTCGTCAGCGCCCTTGGCAGCAGCGCAGCATCATGCGAGAGCGCAGCAGCACTTCCGCATTGCCTGCACCGGCCAGAATACCTGGCCTGGGCTGCCTCACTTCATTTATGGAAGTGGCAGCCTGCTGGATGCTGCGTTTGGCCTGGCTGGAAGCTTCCAGTAGCTTCCGGTTGGGCCTCAGACCCTGTGCCCAGGCCGAGACTTGCAGTTGAGGGCCTGGGCCCTTTACAATTGGGCGCGGCCTGTTAGCTGCATCTGCGCAGGGCCCCCAGGTACTGCTTTTCCAAAGGCCGACGGCCTGCTTCTCAATGTATCGGCCCTGCTTTGTGTGTAGGTGCCCAGGCACAACTTTCGTGGCCTGGGCCAACTGTACGACGCAGCTTAGTGAGGCTCGCACGTTCACTCGACCAACTGGCGCGCTACAAGAGCCTGAATACCCACATATGGAAATGTCGAATTATGGCTTGTGACGAATATTCAGGCCCGCCTTCACTTAGGGCGGGCACTTGGCTTGCTGGGGCCTTAGCCCAGAACATGCGATGTCTGATAGAGCCCCTTGAGGACTTGTTCCTCACATTCCATCCCCCTTAGCTTCGAAAGTCCGCTGAGATGCTTCATGCTAGAGCCTTCCCCTTTAGTTTCTTCTCATAATCTGCCACGATCCGAGGAGCTGTCTTAATCAGTTCCTCCCTTGAAATCCATCGATCTTCCTTCGGATCAGTGTGATGCCTGAAATGAACTTTGTATTCCCTCGCAGGTTTCGGAGATCTTCCCCTGCCAGGTGGCTTGGGAACAAGCGTATCTCTGTGATCCAGGATGTCATCGACGTTCGGGTGGCCATCCATAGTTGGGGGCAGCATAGATCTCCTTGATGCGAACTGTGCTGTCTCAGCAAAAGGTGCTAGCTTGGAGGTGTGAAAAACAGGGTAAGTGCTCAGGTGACCAGGGATACGAATGACGTACGAGGGACCATCCAAATCATTCCCCACTATGTCTAAGACTTCCCAAGGACCGAAATACTGAGGCATTAGTTTCCTAGAGATGCCAAACTCCTGTCCCAACTCACTAGCCTTGACCCAGACACGTTCCCCTACCTGAAATATGAACTGTCGGCGACGTTTGTTCTCAGAAGCAATCATTGCTTCCTGAGATTTCTTGATATTTTCAATAGCCTCCTGTGGACCCCAAATTCAATGGTTCCTGGAGTTGCAGCAGTTCGGTTTTCAGGCAGGAGGAAGTCTAGAGCGGATCTAGGCTTCCATCCGAGATGTAGCTGATTAGGACTGACACCGATGGTGTTTTGTACAGCATTGTTGTACAGACTGGCGATGAGAGGCAACTTCTCATCCCAAGTCATCCTGGCTGGGCTTGATGTAATGCCTCAGCAGATGCTGCACCACTCGGTTCATCTGTTCAGCCTGCCCATTTGCTTCGGGATGATTCCCATAACTCATCTGAAGCTGGCTGCCCATCTGTTCAGCGGCCTGCTTCCACATCTCACTAGTGAAACAGACATCTCTATCACTAACGATAGTCTTAGGCAATCCAAAACCACGCACCCCGTTGTCCATGAACAACTTGATGACGTGCTCAATCTTGGCAGACTCTGGCATGGCGATTAGTCTAGCGTCCTTAGTGAACCTATCCACTATGACGAAGATGTGCCTCTTGCCATTCTTGCTGGTCACAAGAGTATCCATGAAATCCATGGAGATACTCTGCCCTGTGCCAGCAGGAATGGGTAAAGGCTTGAGTAACCCACCCCGAGCTTGAGTCCGCAGCATGTCCCGCTGACAGACCTGACAGGTCTCCACGTACTTCTTCACATCGTCAAGCATGTTGGGCCACCAGAATCGCTGTACTAAATTAGCACTCGACTTCTTATCGCCGAAATGTCCTGTTGCGTCATGACACTCATCTAAAAACAAACTACGCAAAGTTTCTCTAGATGGAACAACTAACCTTTTGAACCCTGCCTTCTCAAGAAAGAGCAACTCATCCACCATCACAAACTCATCAGTGGTGGCCTTGTCTTTAGCCTGTTGTTTGTTGATGATGTCCATCGTGATGGGATCTTCCTTGTAGACTTCATCCAACGATCGAGTTACATCTTCAGAAAGAATCAGCGCACCTACGTAATCTACCCTCCTAGACAACGCGTCTGCAACCTTGTTGTACTCTCCCTTAAGTCTAGTTTGAAATCATATTGATCTATGACTTCAATCCAGCATTTGAGTGCATCGGAGAGAACTGGTTGAGTCTTGATCCACTTGAGGGTCTGATGGTCAGTTCTCAAGTAGAAGAACCTTCCTAACAGATAGTGCCTCCAGTGGACAAGCGCTTTGTAAAGAGCATAGAGTTCCCTCTCGTAGGTGGAGTTTGCCAACTTCTTTGAAGGCATTTTTTTGCTCATGTACTCGATCGGTCTCAACTTCTTCCCTTCCTGCTGAGCCAGCACTGCGCCAATCCCGTATTGGATTTTGTCAGTGGTCACAACAAATGGCCTTTGCGGGTGTGCGTGAGAGCATGCTTCAAACGCTTGAAAGCTGCCTCACACTCGTCGGTCCAGTGCCACGGTGTGTCAAGTGGAGTTAGATCAGTCAAGGGAGATGCGATCGTGCTTTAGTTCTTTACGAAGTTGCGGTAATAACCACACATTCCCAAGAATGATCTGACCTAAGTCAAAGACTGGGGTCGCGGCCAGTCACGTATGCTAGCCACCTTAGCGTCTTCGGGCCTAATCCCATCCGCAAATACTTCATGACCCAAGTACAAGATTTGAGTGCTACCAAACTCGCATTTCTCCACATCTATCTTATACTTGTGTTGTCGAAGGAGTGAAAGTACAGTGTCTACATGCTGAGCATGCTCCTCGGCAGATCTACTGAAGATAAGTATGTCGTCGAGGTACACGACAACAAACTTGTCCAAGTGGTCATGGAAGATCCTATTCATGGCGTGCTGGAATGTACCCGACGCATTGCAAAGGCTGAAGGGCATCACTACAAACTCGTACAGACCGCACCTGGTCTGAAAAGCGGTTTTGTGCTGGTCCTCTAGTCTTCTGGAAATTTGATGGTAGCCGGATTTTAAGTCTATATTTGTATGGTACTTACACCCTGCACCCTATCCAATAGGTCTTCAGCGTGGTAGAGGCTCTGCGTTCTTAACGGTGATGGCATTGCGGCCTCTATAATCAATGCACATCCTTAATGTTCCCCTTTTCTTTGGAACAAACAATACTGGTGAGCCGAAGGGGGAAGTGCTAGGCCAAATCCAACCCTTCTCTGTGAGCTCTTTCAGTTGTCGCCGAAGCTCATCCAACTCGGCAGGAGCCATCCTATAGATTCTACCCTTACGTGTCTTAGTACCTGGGATGATCTCTATGGCATGGACAACCTCCCTGTCTACGCCTCCTGTAGGCTCCTCGAACAGATCAGGATACTTAACGACGTCTCTATCTTTGGGGGTGTTTTAACGGGCGCCCCTTTTGCAGAGACATAGACTAAGCACATTCCTTCCTCTTGGTTCTGTTTATAATAATTGTAGGGGGG